AAAGAAAAGAAAAGAAACTGCTTGGGCACCATCTGGACAATCCTCTCCTCCACCAGGAGGTGGCGAACCTAGCCTGGCAGCCTCACCCCACACCTTTATCCAGAACCATCCCACGACTCACCCTAGTGTGGGCCAATCCTATCCCTACCACTGGATTCTGACGGGGTCTGGGCTTCAGCTGGGGTATTAATTCTACACCCATTTCTCCCCTTCACATTTTGCATCTGTATCTGCCAGTGATATAAAAAAACACATAATCTCCTGAAAGCTATTCTCCTTTCCTCCTGATTCTTTGTTGTTAGAATTTTACTGAACCACTGAAAGCTAATAGTAAAAGTGTTTGACAAAGGAAGAGCCTTCGGAAGTTAAAGGTGTTTGGCAAAAATGAATGGGGCAAACTGTAATCAGCAGCCACACCTTTGTAAATGCATCAACCAGGCTCTGTACCTCTGCAAGAGAACAGGCAGAAACCTGGGCTCAGGACCCAGATGGCAAGAGCTCAACACCACACCACTGTTTACTACTTGGAGGACCTTGGGCAGTTTGTTTACACTTTCAGTGCCTTTGTTTCCTCATCTGTAAAATGTGGATGATAATAATAATGACATCAACTACATAAGTTAGTTGAGATAATGCAAATAAAGCAATTATCCCAATGCTTGACAACATATGTATTAATCTTCACCCACCAGATCCTTCCATCATCACCATCTCAATCCAGCAAGCATTTCTGTGATGTACCAACATGCCACTCTCATCACTGTCTAGGAGACAGCTGATTGCTAGGTGCCTTCATACCTGAAGGGTTTGCTGTCAGGGTCAGTGTCCTTGAACCCCATCTCTTCAAGCTTACAGCGTCGGTACAATTCGTAGTGGCGGGTGTGAGTCTGCTCTCGCAAGTCCTCCATGTTCACCCGGATCAGCATCTCTCGAAGTTTCACAAAATCACAATGATTTTCATTCTCAACTATAAGAGGGGGGAAATGGAGGAAGTAGGATCAGCAATGATGTCACTGAAATATCTGCAGTGATGCTTCCAAGATGTTACTACCATCACTCCTGAAATCTCTGGGGTCTCAAGGCCATCTGAAGATCCTTTACTGGATTCACCTTACACTCATGATGAAGACAAGATTTCTGACAACACTGACCATAATACTGATGACAATGCTGACTGCTGAGTGCCTACTGAGCACAGGGCACAGGGGGAGGAGCTTGAAAACAAATGTTGTCTTTACCCCTCATAATAACTCTGCCAAGTAGATGTCATGACTTGCTTTGCAGATGCAGGAGCTTGGTGAGCAAGCTGACCTCCCAAAGAGAGGTAGCAGAGTCTAGGTTCAAACGCTAGAACATCTGATCCAAAGCCAGATGTTGTACCACACCATGCTGTCTATAACTGTGCAGGGCCACTTTTACATACCACTTCATTTAATTTTATCAACGACACTGGGAAGAAAGGAATTTTCTTATTGTAGAGAAATTGGTAAGAGTAAGAACAATTGTATTTTTCCCAGGGATCTCAAAGGTACTGTTTCTTCTCACAGCTTTATTGTCTTTATTCAAAACAGAGGAAAAGGAGGTCTGACACATCTTAAACCAATGAAGAACTTTCTGTAGCCATCCTGCTTAATCCATAGCACTGGATGTCCTCCTTCAGAACACAAGGGTAGGTCATACAGTCCTTGTCCTTCAAAGTGACATACCTGACAAGCTTTCAGGTTAGACTGTGGCCATGTCCCACAGTGCCAAATATAGGTCAAATATTCTCATAAGTCTCAGATTTACTAAGATAACATTTTATTAGAAGGCGTTTTTTGCATAGTTGATGGAGAAAAAAGTACCCTCTTGTTTGCAAGAAACTTTTTGCTGCTTTTTAATACTTGGCTGATAAAACAAGTTCCAACTCCTAGGGAAGAACTATTTTTCAATCAGGACTTTATATTAATTCCCTACACAACCCAGCATCCTTGAGAGGCTACCTCAAGGGATTGGCAGTCACATCTCTCCATTGTCCACCTACCTGATTACTTTTTCTTTCTTCCTCACCTCCACGAGTGTGGAGCCCTACCACACCCTCCCACTGCCAGCCCACTGTTGAGGGCCTCCCTAAACAAGACGGGAAATGAACAAACACGGCCATTCACATTGGGGCTAAATGTGAAGACTCCATCTCCCATGCTGTGCACATACCCTGCACCACACCCCAGGGGTACTGCCTGGCCTTTGCCATCTTGTTGCCAATCTTCACCTCTTCGGTGCTGCCAACCACTGCAAATGGGAGATGGACCTGCCAAGCAAAAGGACAGAGAATAGTTACCTTCCCCTGCTCTGACAGACTGGTTTCCACCAGTCTCTATCTTCTTCCTCCTTCTGCAGGCCTCTAATTGGTGGCAAGGGAAAAGCAGGCTGCAGTTTGGTGGGTGGATGTCACATATCCCATCCCCCTTACAACCCAATACCGAATATGCGATAGGAGCTAGATTCAAGGGAAAACTGTAGGAGTCTTTGCAGCTATAAAGTAAGTTTTAGACTTGTGCTAGCCGATGCAGTAGCCACTAACTATATGTGGCTGTTGAGCACTTGAAATACAGCATGTAGGACCAAGAAATTGAATATCTAACTTTTAATTGGTTTACCTCTAAATTTAAAATAGAAGCAACGTAAAATATTTTTCCATTAAATGCAACTTTATTGTTTTGGTAAAACTGCATTTCACTTTGCTTCAAACTCAAATCTTCTGAAAAACAAGACCAAGGTAGATGGCAAGGTAGACACAAGATTAAAGATAAAGTCTCTTTTTGGCACTTATTTCATATTGAAAATCTTTAAGGTATGTTAGGAGAAACCTGGGTATGTAAATTTACCTTTTTAGCTGTGAATTTTATAAAATGTATATACAGATAAAGTATTTTTGGTGAAAATTCAGTCCAAAATGAGATAAGCTGTCATTGTAAAATATACACTGGATCTCAAAGATCTACCATTAAAATGTGTGTGTGGTTTTTTTTGTTTTGTTTTTTTTTGAAATGGCATCTTTCTCTGTCACCCAGGCTGGAGTGCAGTGGTGCTATCCCGGCTCACTGCAAGCTCCGCCTCCTAGGTTCACACCATTCTCCTGCCTCAGCTTCCCGAGTAGCTGGGACTATATAGGCGCCCGCCACCATGCCGGGCTAATTTTTGTATTTTTAGTAGAGACGGGGTTTCACCGTGTTAGCCAGGATGGTATTGATCTCCTGACCTTGTGATCCACTCGCCTTGGCCTCCTGAAGTGCTGGGATAACAGGTGTGAGCTACCGCACCCAGCCTAAAATACCTAATAATTTTTATATTGATTACATGTTGAAATTATATTTTACAACATATTGGGTTAAGTCCTTAAAATTAATTTCACATTTCTTTTTACTTTCTTTAAGGTGGCTACTAGAAAATTTTAAAATACTTGTATGTCTCACATTACAGTTCTACTTGAACAACACTGCTTTAGACAGTTGACTACTGCACAAATTCTAAGTCAGAAACACACTTTAGCCCAAATTATTGGCTCAAGTTTTGCACCCAGACTTATCTGAAGTAGAGATGGTGTCCAAGAAAACTGACTCTTTCACATCGGTTTATTTGGTAGTTATCACTGCATTCTGAGTGGGAGAGGAAATAATAATCCTATCTTTTTTCTATCAGTATGTAAGAATAAGATTTGAAATAGCTGCTCCAAGAATTATTATTTAGAGTTCCTTGATCCAGTGTTCTTCCACTATAGATACATTGAGAAAGAAGATAAAAGTTTTCAAGCCAATTCCTCTCCTACAGAGAACTTGGCATAATCATTGGCTTAGGTTTCCCAAGTAGCTTTTTGTCGGATGCTTAAGATATTGACATTTTCTAGTTCATCTCACACTCTAAGAAGGAAAGAAAGTGTATTCTCTTTCTCAAACAAGTCTGAGTTTCAGACTTGAACACTATTGTCGCCTGAAGTTGAGGAGCAACAGGACCTTTCCAGTCAATACTTTGGTGTAATGACCAAGGAAATTTCTCCACTCAAATGTAACAAAAGCAACTGCCAGTGGAATCTGTTTTCCTCAGATTTCTACACATTACGTGGAATTTCATCAGCAAAAATTGTTTGTAATGAAGAGCCTAAAAAAAAATTCTTTAAAGAACAGGATTAATTTGGAATGTCAGAGATTCAGTTCTATTAATCTGATAAAGACAGAAAGAAAATAGAGCAAAAATTCTTGGGTATTTTCTTTCCAATAAGTTTAACACAGATATAGTTCCATGAATATAAAATAATGAAAACTTATTTAGAAGGATAGGAATATAAAGAAAAATTACATAGCAGTCATTCATGATACTTCCTGAATACCACACTGACATCCCAAATTATAGTTCTACAGCAGAATAAAGGAGTGCCATCTCAGCTTGAGATTTTGACCTTGCTATAAAAAAGTACAGACCTCCGCAGTATCCACAGGGTGCGGGTTCCAGGACTGTCCATGGACACTGAAATCTGCAGGTGCTGAAATCTCTGATATAAAATGGTATAGTATTTACAAATAACCTATGCACATCCTCCTGTATACTTTAAATCATCTCTAGATTACTTATAATACCCAAGACAATGTAAATGCTATATAAATAGTTATTATACTATATTTTTAATTTTTTTTTGTAGAATTTACTTTTTATTTTTCTTGCTAAGTTGACCAGGCTGGTCTTGAGCTCCTGGCCTCAAGTGATCCTCCCTCCTCAGCCTCCCAAAGTGCTGGGATTACAAGTATGAGCCACTGTGCCTGGCCATATATATTTTGTATTATTGTTTATATTGTTGCATTTTTTTTTCCAAATCTGTTTGATCCATGGTTGGTCAAATCCGTGTATGCAGAGGACTGACTGTACACTGCTCTGCTTGGGTGGTAGTACACAGGGTGAGAATGTAAGCCTGACAGCCAAAGCCTGGGTTCGAATCCTACCTCCACTACAGACAGCTGTGCAATCTTAGGTGCTATGCTGCAGTCTCCTCATATATGAGGTAGGAATAATAATAGCACCTACGTATGCAACTGTTGTGAGGATTAAATGGAAAGTCTTGAACAGTTCCTGGTGCATAGTAAATGCTCCAGAAATGTGAAAAATGTCAGGTGCTATTATTATTATGTAGCTGTCAGTATCCACAACCAGAGAATTTTAGAGGTGGAAGAGATCTTGCCTATTCCACAGTTCAATCCTGCTTAAGAATTCCTGCTACAGTATCTCTTCCAAGTGGACTGAAACAGGCTCTGTTATCAACTAACCACTGGTGATGGGAACTCACTACTTCCCAAGAAGTAAGGTGTGTCTTCCATCTCAGTGGCTCTACTAGTTAAACACTCACTTCGTAACGGGACCAAAACCCCTTGTTGATCTTTTGTCCATCCATTCTTTTGCACAAGTCTAGTCATTCTCCCTTGTGGCAACCTTCCTTTCACACCCCATCAAGCCTATTTCCTGGGAAGAATCTGCTTTCCAGATTCTTCCAGCGATTCTAGAGCCTTTACTACTTTGAATTCCAACAACCATCATTGGGCATCCACTATATGCAAAGCATGTGGCTTTCACGGATGTTATGCATTCCCAAAGGGAAAAAAGATGCGTAGAGTCATTGCAGCTCACAGCTGAGCTATGGGCTGAGACACACAAAAGAGCAGTGAAACAGACTTGAGCATCAACCGGCAGGATGGAGACTCACCAGGAGGGATTACATCATAATCACACAGGGAACCACTGTCGCTTTAATCATTTATCTCCTGACTAGTTCCTCTCTGTGATGTGGAAATTGTATCCTCAACTGCCAATTTACCTAATGATTCAGAAAAGGGTAGGGAAAATAGAAAGGAGGGAAGGGCAGGATCCAATCACCAAAGCAAAATTGGGACAAGCTGACATATTTCTGCCAAGATTGGTGGAAACAAGCACAGATCTATTTCCTTTGAGCTGCTTTTTGTGAAATGGTGCCGGGCTGGCATTTCCTTCTCACAAGATTTGCTGTAGAAATCATAACTGTTAGAGTGGGAAGGAAATTGGAGATCATCTTGTCTAACGCTCCCATTTGACAGATGGAGAAACTGAGGAGCAGACTGGTTAAATGACCTGAAGTGGTGGCAAAGCTGCACTAATCTGAAGTCATCGGGTGCCTAGTCAGTCCAGTGCTCCAGCCACTCTACAACGCTGGTACTAAGACAGGCGTTCATTAAAATCACTTGTTTCCATTTGACTTGAGGACTTACACTCATTGTCGCGTTAATCTCTGCCACCGTTTCTTCATCAGTGGGAAACTGATATATCTGGACCCCATTGCTGACTAGTTCACTCATAATCTTACTCTTGAATTTGTGCAGTTCATTCTTGGCAATGGTGTCAGCTTTTGCAATTATTGGAATGATGTTCACCTGTAAAACAGACACGTCCATTTTTACACAGTTCCAACATAAGAAAAATAGACAAGTGAATAAAACATAGCAAACAAATAAATAAAATTGCAAAACCTTAATGTAAAAAATAAAGATGTTGCATGCTTATATCAAAACATCTGAAGTACCCCATAAATATAAACACCTCCTATGTACCTACAATTTTTTTTTTTTTTTTTTTTTTTTTTAGGTAGAGATGATAATGAAAATCAGACTTTCTACCTAGGTGAAAAATTAAGAAGACCTGAGATAAACTTTTAGTTCCATATTCAAACACTTTTACTTCCTCCCATCCTGCACTGAAAGTATACTTGTAATTTCCCCTCCTGTGCTACCTCATTTTTCTTTACAGAGTAAAGGAAGTGTTGCTATTCTATGACAAATAGTGATAACAAAGGAGCATATTCTTTGAATGACCAACCACTCCTTTTAGACCCCTCCCATCTACTTTAGGCTCTTGATTTTTGCACACCCTAACAGTATAATAACAAAGTTTTTCTAAGAGCAGTGGAGTATTCCGTCCTATGCAGCCCAACATCCTTTCTTTCTTCTGATGACCTGAAAATTGCTGAGAGGAGAACCTATGTATTAATCAAAACAAAAATGGTGTCGCCCACTGTAAAAGTTTTCAAAATCACCCCAACTAATTCTTTTGAAAATCAGCTTCTATCAAATTACTCCTTCATGCCGGAATAAAACTGAGCGCCAAAGGCAAGGCTCACTTTCACAGCATCGGTTACAAAGAACAGGGGAGAACTCAGAATTTGACAGTAGTGGCAGGAAGCCCAGAAAGGGAGCCAAGGATACCCTAGAGCACAAGTTCCAAACCCTGTGTGGACATTCTTTTCCCGGCTGCCCCCAGCCCTGTGCACGGGACACATTTCTTAAATTCACATTTTAAGATTAATTTTCCCCTAATCCCTGTAGAAACAGAGGTTTCAATAAGATATTACTGACATCCGATATATAGAAGTATGGTCTTCACCCAGCTTAGGTGAGAGAAAACAGACTCAGTGAGGAAGCTGTCCTAGCCAGGGAACAGAGAGTCTTTCGGGAGGTGTTCAGGTCACATCTGCATGCCTTTGCTTCTCCTTTTATCCAAAGGCCACATTAGAAATCCTGATAAACCCAAATGAGATGACACGCTGACAGAAAGACCTATTCTTCAACCTATTCCTCAACCTGCTCCTAAGCTCACTATGCTTGGGCTTCCTCCAGCAAGTTGCAGACTAAGAAAAACATCATTGAGGGTGGGGGAAATGTTTGGATCAGGACTGGAGGAACAAGAAACTTCCTGTTGTTCTCACTGGCTATCTTTTATGCACATTTAGTATTTAATTAATGTCAACATAAACAAAATGGCAGCGATTCACTCCTTCTTGGGCAAATTGATCAGAGGAGATAGAGAAATCAAGCAATTTGGTTTTAAAACCTCTTTTTCCTCATTGGCAGGGGCTTGAAAGTCATTCCTGAAATGACCATACATTTGCTTAACTCTTCCCTTTACTTGTATAAATAAAACTTTGATATTATCATTTTCGGATGCTAGGTAGCTCTCCAACTCTCCTACGATATCACTTCTTTGAAAGTTTAACCTGCTTTATGGTTGGCTGTTTGCTTTTATTAGTTGTGCCTGTTATGCATTTTTCTTTTCCTTTTTCAGTGAACTCTATTAAACATAATCATAGTGTTGGATATTATCCGGCTAGATCTGCATACTCAGCCCTCAGTTAGGAAGCCTCCTCAGTCTACTTCCTTCAGAACGTCTATGGAGAACGGGGCACTCTTGAGAACAGGGAGGTCTGCCCCTGCTTCCAAGGACACGACAGACCCGGAAGCGGCCCTCACTGCCCGTGATCTCTCCACTATCATGGCTAATGGCACAGCTCCCAGGGGAGCCGAGGAATCAAATGGGATGAAGAAGGGTTTCTATTTATTCTGCGAAGAGTACTCTAGCTGCAATGATCCTTCCAGGCCATTAGAAGATTTTTCTATAAACTACTGTGTCTGTGCCTGCTGGAAGCCGAAGGAGCCTGGCTTGGCTTCAGCCTCTCCAGACCTCTAAAGGCCAGTTCAGAGGCCTTGGGGACAGGCTGATCTTCTGAGCATTCTCTCGCTGTTCTGTCCCTCTGGAGAGAAAGCATCTTTTATCAGTGGTGTTGTTTAGACAAAATCATAGTAACAACACCCAGCAGAGTCCTCTAAAGAGCTTTATCATCTAATAAGACTTTTCTGTGAATGCAAAAGGCATTTTGAATCTAAGAGTAAATACCTTCCATGGCTTTGCTTTGTGGTTGTTCCTGTTGCCATTTGTTTCATCCTTATTTCAGAATGTATTGTCTTCTATTTATTTCAAAATGGAAAGTCTAATTAATTATATAGTAAGGTGCCAAATTTTATCAAACTGACCAGTCTCTTCCTTCACGTGCTGTGAGAAAGAGAAGGTATAAATGTGGCAAGCTCAGGGATCACACTTAAATGAAGACTTTGCTTTACTTGAACACACGTGTGCAGTTCAGTTTTAAAATCTAAGAAGCTGGACCATTATCATCACAGAGACAAAAATTTAACCTTTTATTCCATTGTAAACTTTGAATTAAAATCAAACCTCTAGAAACCTGTTAGAGAAAGTTTTTTTTAAGAAAATAAACAAACTTGGAAGTTATATTTCAACCTCCCATGTAAGAATTAAAAATACTTCCTGAAAGCGACTTGATTTTTTTTTTCTAGTTTTGTTTTATTTTATTTTTGTCTAACAGGCAAGAGGTTTTGAAGTGTTTTTCTCATGCTGTCAAACACTGTTCCTGTAATCCAGGGCAAAAAAATCACATTGAAAGCAGAGAACAAATTAGGGCATTAGGATAAAGAAGATCTAAAAGGAGAGTGGATGATAATCAGAGTGGCAGCAAGTACCTTACTGTCCAGCTTTTTCATGGTGACCAGATCCAGGGACTTCAGTGAATGTCCAGTAGGGGCAATAAAGTAGAGGCAGGCATGGATCCTCGTGTCATGGTAGTTGAAGAGAGAACGTTTAATCTTCAATTCCTCTTGCAGGTAGGCCTCGAACTGGGCATCGATATATTCTACTATCGGCTTATAGCTAGAATGCAGAAACAGCATGTTTCTAGTCTCAAACCTCTTTCACAGTTTGGTGTAGACAATCCTCCATTCAACATCACAATGGCTTCTTCTTTCCTAAGGGCTAAAGCCCAAGTCCTCACCTAGGTATCCAAGGTCTTCCATCACCTGATGCCTGAACAGGGCTCCAGGCTCACCTCTCCTGTCCCAGCCACACCCAACCATTTGTAGCAGCCCCCCGCATGTCAAGCCCTTATTTCCTCTGTGTCTTTGCTCACGCTGGCCCCTCTGTGAGAACCTGTCTTTTTCCTACTCTTTTCCTGGCTCACATTGATCCTCTAAAACAGAGACTGTACATACGTGGAGCCGGCTGCCACTCTCCCAAGGTGCATCCATGGAAGATATTGCTAAGAGATTGTGGCATTCTTTCCCGCTGGGCCAAAACTGGGCCTCAAAAATCCATCTGAGAAAAGTGATTGTGACAGCTTCTCCCTACTGATTGCCATTGGTGCACAAAATGAAACTGTTGTGTGGTTTCAGAATACGACACCACCACCTACTGCGAGCTATTTCCTGGTCATCTGCCCTATTCCTCCAGAGGTGGGGGCTCTCTGTGCTCCCATAGCCCTGTGCACAATCCAACTCATCTAGGAACTGAGGTGCCTAGACTATTATGATCTTCAAGATTCCTTTCAACTCAAAATCTTCATGATTTAAAGGTAAACGTTGTAACCTTCTCTTCTCACCAAATCATTCAAATCTGTTTTGGATAATTGTGTGTGATCCTATTAACTGACCATAAACACAATGACGAATAGCATATTGGGGATACACATTCCATAAACCACATGTCCAGGAAGTAAGCAGTATGTTAGGTCATTGTGGGAAACCCACTAATTTTTTCTGGTCTCCAAAGGGACTACTCAGAAGAAGTTTGTTTTAGCAACAAAGAGACTGTTCTATTAGGAATACAAAGAGTTAATTCTCCCCAAACTTATTGCCTTTCCAAAGATATAAGTTTTAAGAAAAATCAAAACATTTCAACACCCAAATCCCATACCCATAAGTTAAACTGAAACCCTTGAAAGGGAACCACAAATCTTTTATAATAAAAGTGACAGCAGACATCCTAAGAAAAACAAACATCCCCAAAATAAACAATAACCACAAACAAACTTATGAGCAAAACTGAAAGCAGTCCATAAAAAGCTTTTTGATATTTTTCTTTGGTGATTTTATCACAATCTATTGGTTCAATTAAAGTAGACAAAATCTCCAGAGGTTTTTTAAAAAAAAAAAAGGTAGGATATACCTCAGGAATAATAAAATTCCAAATCATGACAGGCAAAATTCCAATAAAAAGAATCAGTGAGTAATAAGATTCTTCTATATTTTCTAATCTTGAAATATAGACATATATTGCATAATAATAATATTTAATGAGATAATTATAGAGGATGGTGGTTAGAAACATGGATTCAAGCCAAACTGCCTAAAACCATAATACAGCTGCACAACTTACTAGCTGCACAGCCTTAAGTCACTAAACCTCTCTGTGACTCAATTTCCTCACAGGTAAATCAGAGACAAAAATAGTAGTTCTATCAGAGAGCTACTGTGACAAATAAATGAGCCAATACATGCAATACATGTAAAGGGCTGTCACATAAAAGATATAACTATTTCATAATTATATAATAAATAACCAAGAATCAAGCCTGACTTTTTAGAAAAACCTTAAAAAAAAAAAAGGAACTTTACATTCACCCAGTTCTCTGCTGGTATCTGTCCTGCTATGGAGCTCATGCCCAGGAGGGAAGTGCAGCAGGCCACTCCAGTGAGGTCCACCCATGCCCTTTGCCCTTTCAGTGTGGGGCTGATCCTTCAGTCTCCTGACACTGAGGCAGATTTGGGGATTAGGGATCTTCCCTAGCAGCCTATTATCCCCAAGGGTAAGAGAAGCAGCTCACAGCAATTGCTCCCCTGCATCCCCGGTGTCTGATTTTTAGCTCTTAGCACTCCTCCTCTCAATAGTAGTCCAAATACGGTTCTGCTTTCTATTAATTTCCCTTCTTGCCTCTGGGTTTTGATTCTGATCCTCCAAAGACAATGAGGCATAACATCACTCATTTTGCAGTGAGGAATGCTTTCCGCACTGGATTCAAGACATCTTTTGTTCTCTAATATCACAGACTTCCTTCTACCTGTTCTTATTATAGAGTCCTGGCCAATCATTCAATCTCCTTTCCTTTCACTCCATGTGTTCCCTCTAGAAAATCACACTTATTCCCTCTAGAAAATCACTAGCATCCGATAGATAGTTCCACTCACCATCTATCTGATGACAAGTCATAAATCTCTACCTTCAACCCAGATCTTTTCTCAGAGCTTCAGATCCATCCACAATTGCTTATCCTATATTTTCAACTGCTTTCCCAACTAAATATGTCCAAAACTGAACTATTCATCCTGCCTTCAAACCTACATTTTCCCTGTATTCCTTAGCATGGTGGCCACCACCCACACCACTGGCCAAGCCAGAAAGCTGGGATTCAACCTGGAGCCTCCTTCTCTTACCTCACATACATAATAAATCTGAAATCCTATCTACTTTACCTTCCAAACCATTATTAACCAATAAAAATAAATGTATTCCTGGACAACAATTTACCAAAACCACTATTCCCTATGTCAAAGATTTAATTATGATAATAAAATAGTTTCTTCTTGATGAGACTCAAGCCAGCCAAGTGGTTTTGTACTCCTCATCATCATCCTGTAGATGAGATGAATTATCTGCCTCTTCCTCCAAATCTTTTCCACTTCTGCATCTGAAGTCAGAAAGAAAGGAAGCTTAATCCCAGCTTAGCCTTTTGCTAGCTCCAGTCCTACTAACACTTATTTATATTCTTTTTGGCCAATTAAAACTTCCCTGGATTGTGGCCATATCAATCAGAGGAAAGACAGGAGGACAAATCCAGTCTAGCCCTTACATTTTCACATAATTTTCTTTTAAGGCATGGAGATATTCCTTTTTACACAGCACTCATTTTTTTCCATATACCTCCAGCCATAAAACACACACACACACACACACAAAACGACAGAGGCTAACCCTAAAACCGATGGAAAAAGATACTTAGACAATGTTTTCCATCCATCCAACCTACCCACTGATCATTCTTGCAAAATGGCCCATGCCATCATTCAGAGACTGACTCTCCACTTCATACATGACCAAATACTTACCACGTTTTTCCCTTCTCTTGCTGTCTGTTAGCCAATTTTCCTTATCCCTTGACTACCTCCACCAGAAAGTGTGATTAAAAACTTAAAATGTAAAGGCCAAACAGTCCATCTCACTACTGTATAAAGATTTGGTGAGGTTGAAATTCCGTCTCGGGGATTTCAATTATTTCTCCCTTTGAGGGCTGACTATCATTATAGCTAGTGATACTTCATGGACAGCTCACCTCCCATCTCCCCAGTGTGGGGCAAACTAATTATTCTATTTCCAATTAAACAACAAAACTTGGTTTCCCTTCTTCCCCAGACCCCTTTCTTTCTCCACTAAGAGTACAAACAGCCAAAACAAGGAAGCCCCTAAATAACAAAGAGTGAAATGCGCTTTTAAACATAACAGGAAACCTTACCAGATCTCTCTTCCTGCCTCCTTCTAGCTAGCCTGGTCTGAGGCAGATAATAATACAGCAATGCTGACATGTCCAAAGCCTACATAAACAAACTGGGACATTCTTGAAGTCTTGCATCTATGGCAGAAAAGCTTGCCTAATCCCCAAAGTAGGTAAAAATCAACATGGGTATAGAGAAATAGCACATCCCTTCCCGTATGGTTACATATTGATGCAGAAACAAATATCCCACTTCCAGTTTCTTGAGGGAAGCAGAGCCTGTCTGAATAACGATTTGTGAACAAGTCATTTGGCTTTACAGTCAACAATGTCAACAATACCTTCTGAGGTACAGGGTAACAGAGAGTTTTAAGTGCCATTTAAAGAGGTTATGCAATAGCTGTCAAGAAATTTCAGAGGAAAAAAATATTTGGTATCTAGGTTAGGTTAATATCACACTTCCTCTCTTCTAAATCTCCCTGGAAACTATTATTTGACCCAAATGAGTCAGATAATTTCTTAAGGAGGGCTCCAGCTGCAAATATGAGGATATGCATTGTCCTAGCTGTTTGCTGCTGAGTGCTGATTGGGAAGTGAAAAGGCACCAGCAGCCCGAGGGAAAGTCCCAGTTTAGGGGAGAGGCAAAAATCGAGTAGCAGCACTGTGGCAACCCCAGTGAGCTGGAAGAGCACAGGGAATCTCAGCAAGAGGCTATGTGGAGGATGGTTCTCATTCCTAGGGGGAGGGATCCTGAAAAAGTACAGTTACTGTCTTCCAATCAAGGAATGCAAGAATAAGATTTTTCCTAACCCCAGGGAGAAAATCTATACGGGTCTGAGAGGTGGAGAACAGGCCTTGCTCTGGGTATGTTCTGTCACTATGCAATGATTGGAACCCCTTGGCTCTCTTCCCAGCTCCCACAATGCACTTGTACCCCTTTCCTTATGACCAGGGCTTTTCTCTTCATTTACTGCCCTTGGCATTACAAACAGCCTTCAGTCAGGGGCCTCTCCATCACTCCTTGTCATTGAGGTCATATATTAAGAGCAACTGCTCAGCTGCAGTGTCAGAGCCAAACTTGTTCCCTGCCCCAACACAATGTACAGATAGTCCATTTTGGCCAGATGCAAAATAAAATCTTTCTCACTCTATCTAACAGTTGTTCCTGTTATCACGGGACAATGTCTACTGAGGAGCATTTAAAGTGCTTTACAGATAAAATAAAGAGCTTGGTGCTCAGCTAAAGAATGAATTAAACATTTCTCTGTCATTACTGTGGTGCTCATACTTGTATCAGGAATAGTTAAAATGTATCTAGGCAATACACATTTCTAGATAAAAATAGGCGAGTTCCTCTTTATAAAACACATGTATATAATATACAGTTCTGAGGAATATGGAAAAAAATCCTGATACAACTGAAGTGTCTGAGCCGTAAGCAAACACACCCTAACTTACTGATTTGTTGTTCATGTCTACATGTTGGTCACACTAAGCAGGTAGACACTTATACCCATAATGTTGTAACTGCTCAAAGATGTTTCTGGAAGCCCCATTCTACAATCACCTTTGGGTCTGGGGCAGTTTTATTTTAACTTTCTCAAACTTCTTTCGAGAATGAATGTACTATGTAAAATAGTCATAAGATATCTGAGGTTGAGACTGATGAACAGAATTGGTGCTCTTGAGAAGGAATGTGAACAAAATCCTGAGATTTTGAATCTTAACGAAATTTTAAGAATTAAAAACTTCCCTCAAATAAGAGCAAACAGCAACTCATGTTAAAGACCCAAACTTACGTGGCTTTATAAATGGGGTATACTATAAAAACTCAGTGTACTATTTTATCATTACACAGCAAGCAATGGTGAAGGCATTTGTTTACCTGGGGCAGATTTGGTGGAGCATCTAGAGACCTCCCCACTCTAGTGTGCTGGCTTCCCAAGCAGTATGAAGTGATTGATGGCTGGGGTTTCTGCTAAAACTGTTCTGTGGGGTGGCTGGGTGTTTCTCTAGATTGCTTTTCCTGGTAGGAAAGCCCAAAACCTAGTTTCATGGCCTTTGTGGAAAGATGCTGTAAGCTAATTTAATCCCTCTAATAAATCTCCCTTCTGCTCCTACTAGCTGGGATCAATTTTGATGTCTGATTCTGACCTCAAGGAAGAACATTCTCAGAAAAATTCTCAGAGGACAAGAATATCACACCTTTTAGGCAATAGAGGACCAAGCCCCACAACTAAAAAACCCCCAAAACATTTGGCCTTTAAATTTACCTGGGATGGATCCTGCTATCTCCTCATCCATTTATGTCCCCCCAAAATCCCAAGATGTACCTGTCATCTTTATTTATCTGGTCTCCAAATCCCACGGTGTCAACGATGGTTAACTTCAGCCGTACATTGCTCTCCTGAAGCTCATAACTTCTGGCTTTTAACCGAACACCTGGTTCATTGTGAGTAGCTGGGTCACTTTCAAATTTGGTGTTGAACAAAGTGTCCATTAACGTGGATTTGCCAATGCCTGTCTCACCTATGTAACCACAAAAGAAAAATTAGAGAATGTGTCAATGTCTTTCAGACATGAGTTCAGTTCATCAGTATTTTTTTCATTAGTCATGATTATAAAGTTTAAAAAAGAAAAACTGTCACCAGAAATGCCACTGTGAAGAGATAATTCTTTCTATGTGTAATCTATGGAATACCTTTCTAAAAATGCCTCAATGAATTTCAGAAACTATTTAGCAGACAGGATTTCAAATTCACAGATCAAGAGATTCTTCTTTACCTCTGGATAGAAAAATTGTACTTGCAAGTTTGCCCATGCTCAGGTTGTATATTACAAGAACATGAACTTTACCTCTTTCTCTCCTAAATGTCAGAGTATAAAACTATATTACTTAAGGGATAAAAGACTATACTGTTGAATTTCTGTTACTTGAAACAAGTGATTCCATTTACACTGAATTACCTAAAAGATCAGTTAATTCAACACCAATATGATACTGTGTCATATGCTTTCCAACATAATACAAAAGTGAAGGAGGACAAAGTCTTTCTGGATTTGAACTTTCTCTGATTAGAAAAGCCTTATATGGCTTGCCTCTAACCATGATGATTCACTTATAGGGTAAAAGTTGGCCAAGTACATTCATCTTACTCTTTAACCTTTCCTGTTGTGTCCCTGAACATCTAAGATCATAGAATTTCCTCTTTAGTCAGGCTTCATTCAGCCAGTATTTTTCCAGTGCCTACTATGTACAAGTTCTGTGCCAAGTTCTGAGAATTCAAGAAACTAGCCTGATGGGGTGGTCTCCCACATCTTAGAATCTGGTCTAGAACATGACTGAATAATACCAGTCAGACTCTAATTTATTATTATGGGAACAACATTCTAAGTGTTTGTCACAACTGCTTTCCCCTTATAAGCAAGACCATCCTTTACACCCATGACCCTGCTAGTTGGCCACAGACAACTAGACCATGGCTAGGTCCTGACCTAAAGGCAACCAAGGAAGCGCAATCATTTCACTATGAGCTGGGGCTCCACATTGGAGAGTGGCCTATCTAATCACAATTTTTCTCTTTGGGTGTTTGAATGAGATACATGCAATCTCCATACAGTGTGAAGGCATGAAAAAGAAACGATATACAAAGAGAGGTAAGTAAGCAGAAGCCATGAGGCAGCAAAGGCTGTAAGTAAACGGAAGCCATGCTGCAGACAGAATGTGGGCTGGGAATACAGGAAAAAGCAGATAGATGGCGTAGAGTACTGGAAATCCATCATGAAATTAATGCTTGGGTGCTCACTGTGTGACAAGCATAGGTGCAGGGATGAAGTAATGAACGAAAACAGACACTGACACCTGTTTGCACTTCTGTAACATCCTAAATGTCATTCCAGATCTCTATGGGGTCTGGTTGTGCAGCGGTTGAGACGGTTTCCTGTCTTCTTTACTTTCCTGAATAGTCTTACCAAAAAAAAACCCTCCATAAAAGCAATATAAAACCAGTCTCCGCTCCCTAACCTGAAAGAGTTTAACAAGTTAATACTCACCATCCATGGCTTAACAAATTAGCTTTGAGCAAAACAAAGTACTGTGTAGTGGATACAGAAATAAAACAGGGTTCTCACTAGTAGTTGATACTGAAGGTACTTGAGTCATTTTAAGTACATGCTACAAGTGTAACATTCTCAAGCAGAGCCAACTTCTTTTCAGGATTTACCTATTTTTAGAACAAAAAAGGCACAAAAGCAGATCTGCCATATAAAAGTTTCCCCTTTATGGGAAAGGTTCTGTCAGTAGAAAGTGACCTACTTAACTTTCATCTTCTTCCCTAAGAATAGCAATAAAGACTTCAATTACATGGCAAGGACTCTAGGTTACCTGGACAAGATTGAAATTATCATCTTATTTTACTAGGTTGAAAATTACTTAAGCACCCATGTGAATCAGGAACACCATACTTTTTTTTTAAAGGCCTGGTAATTTTAATTATCATTTACATTAAGGTGGAAATTACAAACAATTAGCATACCAGGCCCTACTTATAGCACAGGGTTAATCAATGGGTTGAAAAAAACCACTGTTCCTCTAAACTTTGGTGTGCTTTGCTTTCCATTTCTATGCTCTGTGCTTTTAAGAGCTGTAATTAGACACAGCAACTCCAGCAGCAGTGTGATTCACCAAAAGCAGTTCAGCAGGAAATGACAGCTTTTGGAAGAAAAGGAACTCCAGAAGAACTAGGGAAGTTTTTCAATGCATTAGCTTATTTTCTTTAACAGACAGGGTCTCACTGTGTTCCCCATGCTAGTCTCAGACTCCTGGACTCAAGCATTTCTCCTGCCTTGGCCTCCTGAAGCACTGGGATTCGTTTTTGAGGCTTCTCTCTAATCTTTCTAAGCGGAATCTCATCTATACTTTTGAGGACCCATAAGACAAAAATTTCTTTCTAACTGAATAACTAAAAGCCTACCAGGCACAGGTTCCAATTCAAACCAAACAACCATAACAATATTTTCAGAAAAATCAATGACTAACACTAAAGTATTTCAAAACTCCCTAGCAGACTGCCTGGCACAAAGGAGACATTTATTAAAAGTTAATTGCAGGCTGGGCACGGTGGCTCATGCCTGTAATCTCAACACTTTGGGAGACTGAGGCAGGTGGATCACCTGAGGTCAGGAGTTCGAGACCATCCTGGCCTACATGGTGAAACCCCATCTCTACTAAAAATACAAAAATTAGCCAGGTGTGCTGGTGGGCGCCTGTAATCCCAGCTACTCGGAAGGCTGAGGCAGGAGAATCCCTTGAACCTGAGAGGCGGAGGTTGCAGTCAGCAGAGATCACACCACTGCACTCCAGCCTGGGCGATAGAGTGAGAGACCCCATCTTTAAAAAAAAAAAAAAGTTAATAGAAAACAAAAATGATCATGGTGGTGATTTATACAGAGATATGCCACTGTGGTAGATTTTTTCAGAGTCTGTTGTTTATTCTATCATAAATTCATCTGCCTAACCACTTTATTGTTACAGTAATTAGAGACGCTATTGAAGTGCTATCTGGGGCTTCTGTTTTTCCTGTTCCTGCCAATGCTAGTGAACATGATGCCCACATCACAGAGGAAGGCAGTCCTACCTTTTCCATTCTATTCTCAGGCTTATTTAACCCACGAGCTCTAAGGTGAACAAGGCAAGGGAAAAACAGAGGGATTGTATTATTAATTAGAAGATAACTGTAGATTGAACAAATTGTTGATCTGTGATTCAGCTCTTTTACTCTAATTGCCAAGACTGGCTACTTGGGTAAGTAACTGTGCATGGGGATCTGCCTGCCTTCCCTAAATATTCTAGATTTTACTCTTGGATGGAATCAGAGAGTCAGAAAGCTACATACCTAAGTTGCATTGTTCTTGTTCCTCATAGAATCACCTTTGATGAAACAATCTCTGGCATAAGATGAGCCAGCGTGTGGCACCTGGCATTTCATTAAACAATTGCACTGACTTAGAGGATGCCCAGGAACCCAGACCACTACATACACCAAATCTCTTTTCTGAAAATCCATCGAGAAATTTTTCCAGGTAAAGCTGTGTTTCATCCGGAGCAATCATTTTGTTTTTACTTTATAGATACTATAAATCTGTCGTATGTTAAACTTTTTGCTTGTGTTTAGCATATAACACATGCTCATTAAATATCTGCTAAATGAATGAGTGAATTAATAGTTTTCTCCATGCTCTGACCACTAAGCTGAGAGAAAAATGTAAATGTAATACTTCATCAATTAATTGCTATAGGCAGGCCTGATGGCACACTTTGAGTTCTGATTCTATCCCTGGCTTCACCTTTATTTTCTAGGGTTAATTTTGTCTTTATTTATTTTACCCTATAAGCCATTTACATCCTTTCCTGGAAAACAAGATGGGATAAAAATGTTTAAGATTTGATTGTAAATTTCCACAATTTATGTTGACACTATACCTTGGCTAAGATGGCCTTACACTTCACTTACCTGTTTTCAATTCCTGTTCTCTCATCCCCTCAAAACAATTAAGGTTGAATTGTGGAAACATTTTCTGTTTCAAAATGTATTACTAATTTACTTTGACTCTACTATCAAATTGGCTCTTCTTCAAAAGCAGAGATGTTACAGTATCTTATTCACCTTTGTATGTTCACAAGAAACAGACAGCTGGATCAATGTTGATGAGGTTTTTTTCCTAGAGTTAGTATCATTTTGGAAAATGGATGAGAAAGACATACAAATTTAAAATTATAGAAAAAGGCTAAATGCTAATTTAGATCTAATTTAGACTCTGTGGAGAATTACAGCATGGGTAAAACATGAAAGGCTTTATTTAAACTAAAATATAGCTTCAGGAGTGATTTAGGTGTGTTGTGGCAAAACAGACAGAGGGGGAATGATGAACTCCTGGGTGTTCTGTTATCTCATTTAACATCAGAATTCTCTTCCCAGTGAAATGAAAACTATACTTCCTCTATTACGTGCCTTCCCAGGACCAACAGAGATGGGTTCTAGCAGCAGACGTTTAATTCAGTATCTCTGAAACTAGACTTAGTTCATGCCAGGACCATTTTCTGCTCTGGTTTATTTCCTGTGCATTCTTTCAAACTACAGGCTTATGCCACAAAACAAAATTACAATTCTGAGACCTTTTTGGTAAAAATTTTCCTTACTGGGATCATAACTTTATTTTTTTATCCTTAATTCCCTCCCATATTTATCACAAGTAAATTCACGCTATAAGTATCACATGTGAATACTGTGCAAAATAAACAAATGGGCAGTAAGAAGGAGTAAGTAAGGAGGAAAAATTACCATGGATGCTCTTAAGTTAAATATAACACCTACTCCTCTATGCGGCTGTCCAAATATTTTGATCTACTTTTTATAGACTCTTACTTTAAAAATAGATGGACCATTGATTGACAGTAAGTTTTTTCTTATAAAGAGATTATGCCATAAAATATCTATGGCAAAGGGATTTGATATTCAACTTTCTGAGGATGATATTTAATGCTGACACTCTTATCTCCCAAAGAGCTCATGCTAGCCCCAAACAAGGGGCTCCAAAGGGTTATGGAGAACGACCTGGAGAGTTAGATATGCTGACAACGAAGGATATCCAGGACTTCTTGTGGACTGAAAAGAGGAAAATGCACAAGATGAACTGCATGATCTCATTTGTGTAAAAGCAAAACAAGAAAGCACCTACATAACTGTGAGAAAGCTGTTTTTATCTGTCCAGTATGTGTCTCTCCCAAGCCCTATCTCCTTTCTGATCCTGTCTTCTCGCCTATGGGGAACCTCGTACGTTTTGGAGTGAACTGACCCCATCTTCCCCGCAGGCCGAGCGTGTGACTGAGTCCTGGCCAATCAGTGAAATCCTGACTGTTCGGTGAGACGTGTCAGGAATGCCTTGTTCCTTCCCCTGAGGTTGCTAGGCTGGTGATGCTGCCGGAGCCAGGCTGCTGTCGTGAGGAAAATGCCTGAATGTGAAGCAAGCAGAAGCAAGCAGGATCAAGAACCAGAGAAAGAGGCCTGACAGGGCTCTTTGAACTCCTGGAGCCAGCTGCTCTTAATTACCCAATTCACCATATTACCTTTTCAGTGTGTGTTGGAGGGTGGGGGAGAGTCTTAACTGGATTTAAGCTGGATTTCTGCAATTCTCTGTGGAAAATTTTCTGACACAAAAATACTAGGAGAGCGATGCGATGTGACTGGCTTTGAGAATGGATGGAAGGAGCCAAGAGCCAAGGAATGCAGGCAGCTTCCAGAAGCTGGAGAAGGCATGCACTCTCCCTAAAGGTTCCAGGAAGGAATGCAGCCCTGCGGACCCATACTGGACTCCTACCTACAGAACTGTAAGCCACCAAAAGCAATTTCCTAACACAGAAAGATGTCAAAAGTTTCTAGAAGGATCCCACAGTGTTTTCTCTGTGAAATGGAAATGGGAGTGGGAGATGAAAGGGAAGTATTTTATAACATTTTAAACAAAAAATATATACTATGTTCATTAGTTTGAAAAACTAATTTTAAACATGTTTAAGAACAGAACCTGACAAAAATCTAAGAATCACAGGTATTGTAACCCACCCAGGAGACTCCAAATAGGGCTGCTTTACACGTCTAACAGGGCAGCATCGATTTGGCCTCTGAGGAATTCAGCATCCGAATTGCCTTATTTAACACAAGGAGTCAGTCCCTGAGCCAACACACCCCACTGCACACCACATACCCAGTTAAACCAGGATCCCACCGGAAGGCTTTCCCCTACCATCCCCTGCAAGAGCCAGGACAGAACTCTCAGACAGGTTCTTAGAACTGATTTTGGAGACAGGGCTGGGGAGGCACTGAAGAGAAGCCAGAAGAGTAATTGGCCTGGGATTACAATTTAGCATACTTTTCAATAGAAAACCAACAAATCGCCAACAAATTGCTATGCTAATGAAGAATTGCCCTGCTCTGCAATAAGCATTTATCATGAGAGAAAGGACAACCCATTCATGCCACTCTGTAGAACTAGCTGCCATTCGGGAGGTCTCCTGCTGAATTTTAAAAGGCTTCATGTAGGGAAAAGGGGAAAGCATGAGATGAGAGTTGGCTGCTGTGGCCATGTTTCTCTCCAGTCCTTCTCTTATCCAGTGCTTAAGATAAAATGCCAGGGAGCAAGTTGGTCTAGCGTGCCCGCCAATTGTGACTCTCTACTAATGAATGCCCAGTGCAGAGGCTACATGCAGTCGAGTCATCAAGAGGTTCAAGAAGTTTTTAAAAAAGAAAAATATCTGCACTCCTCCCAACTTCCATAACTGACAAATAAGCAAATGATGGTTCTCACATTGAACACATACCTTCTCTAAATTCTCTTCGCTTTACTTGGACAAGAAAAGTAAGTCTGACACATTCTGCCAAGCTTAGGGAAAAGACAGTCCACTTGGCTACATACAGAATTCTTTGATCTGTCTCAAAGTGATGTCTCAGAGGGAAATGCCCAGAGGACAATGCCAACAGAACAATATGGCCCAAACCACTTCACTGCTATTTCACCCGCCATTCATCAGGCGTGATGGGGGAGAGAGCAATAGCCATTATCTGTTCCACGCACATTTCTCCTTCAAACTAACAGGAAATTTATATTTTGATTTTCTTTATCCCCCTTCTTTTCCACCTTCCTCTTCTTAGTCCAAAAAGGGTATGGCATACAAAAAATTAGCCAGGCGTGGTGGTGGGCACCTGTAATCCCAGCTACTCAGGAGGTTGACGCAGAAGAATTGCTTGAACCCCGGAGGCAGAGGCTGCAGTGAGCCGAGATCGCCCCACGGCACTCCAGCCTGGGCAAGAGGGCAAGACTCCTCCCAAAAAAAAAAAAAAAGATATGGCTAGAGGAGTGAAGAAAAATACCAAGGCAGAGGCCTAGTCCAAAGTAAAATGTTTAAGGGATCTTAATGATATTGTAATGATCGGTTGCTTGACTGTGTGACAGAAATACTAATAGTAATCTGAGTAACATGACAAAACATACAATGCATTTACCTAAATACAGCTCTCAATCTTTATAACTTGTGACACGTATAAGGCAGATATTTTGCCTTGCTTTACTGATGAAAAAAAGAGAATAAACATGTCATTCTTATTTCACTGAAGCATGTCTCTCCGACAGTCACCTGTCAATATCTAAGGATCAAACTTCTTGCTGCGTGGGTGATGAATAACTTACCAACACAAAGGATGTTGAAACAGAATCCTTGAGAAGTAGACTTGTTGACCAGCTGGTCAGGGAGGCTGTCAAATCCCACATGGCCAGACAAAGACAAGTTTCGAAGCTCTTCATTCTGGAATTTCAGGGGAGAAAGATTTGAATGTCCACGAACCATGCCACCTGGATATCACATATCACAAACATTACATTCTCTCCTCTTCTTCCCTTGACATACATGGAAATAGACCCCCACAGCCGCCTTGGCTTCTACACAGCTGAGGGCACTAACAACTCCAAAGCCATGCTCTTTCCACAAAATCACAGTTTCCCAAAGCAGACCATCTCCCTGGGTATCTCACTCCTTGTCACAAGTGTACTGGTCCAGGGAAATTTGAGCTTCTAGAGGTGACTATTTCAGATATGCATTAAGTGACCAAAAAAACACAAAAGCCTCCAGCCATTTTGATCACTTTCATTATCCAAGAAAAGCTTTCAATTTACTGTCAACTCACAGTGAAAATATATTTAACACTCTTCCAGATATCAAAGAATTTGAAAAGCTCACGGTGAAGGATACATACTCCTTACAATGATGACAATGCTCTACCCACCATAAATGCAACATATTTAAAACTTCTCAGCACATGAGCTGGTTTCCTCTCCTCCATTAGTTTCATAGGTTTCTTGAGTTAGCAGAGACTCTGTAACTGCTGGACTTTTGCAGAGTTTACCAATGGAGACTGGGGTAAGGTAGTTATCATACATTTAAAAATCACACAGGATATGGCTGGAAGCTAAAATAAAATTGTTGGGTGATTTATGCTGTTATATCAAATGGTACTGGCTGCCCCCACAACTTTGAATGTGTCCCGTGGGTGCTAGAGATAATCTGTGAAACCCTTTTTTCGCAAGATGCAGAGATCAGCTACAGTCCCTCAGTTATAATATCATGGTTATGGTTTGCAATTTCAGAAATTAGATACTGAAAGTCTTCTCCTTGGAGACACGACTCCTGGTATTCTAGCTGTGTTGTCAATGAACTTTATACTCAAAATACTGGAGTCCAGGTGAGAAAATGATCCTCAAAGCTCCATTTTTATTTTTATTATTTATTTGTTTTTGTATTTATTTATTTATTTATTTATTTTGAGATGGAGTCTCACTCTGTCGCCAGGCTGGAGTGTAGTGGCACGATCTCAGTTCACTGCAACCTCTGCCTCCTAGGTTCAAGCAATTCTAGTGCCTCGGCCTCCCGAGTAGCTGGGATTACAGGCACGTACCACCATGCCCAGCTAATTTTTGTATTTTTAGTAGAGACGGGGTTTCATCATGTTGGCCAGGCTGGTATCAAACTCCTGACCTGGTGATCCGCCCGCCTTGGCCTCCCAAAGTGCTGGGATTACAGGCGTGAGCCACCACGCTCAGCCATTTTTATTTTTTTAGAGACAGGGTTGCACTGTCACTCAGGCTGGAGTGCAGTGGCGTGATGATAGCTCACTGCAGCCTCAAACTCCTGGGCTCAAGTGATCCTCCAGCTTCAGCCTCCCAAGTAGCTATGACTACAGGCATGTGCCACCACTCCCAGCTTCAAAGTTCCATTTTATTTAAAAAAAAAAAAAAAAAAAAAAAAAAAAAGAAGAAAGCTTTGCACAGGACCACTTAGTCAATGTTTTCAAAGTACTGGTTTTCATCATCCTATTTTTATGTTACATAATCGTGAGGGTGAGGGTGATTTCTTTTAATAAGCAAGGACTAAGACCCCATTTCAAATGTTTGTGGTCACCATATAGGCACAGAAATGTGACTCCAGAAATGCAGTGATTTTAAAGGACTTCAATGGTTTTATTAATAATATAATGTCTAAAGTCCATATCAGCTCTAAAATTCTGATTCTGTGAAATAAGACTAAAAGCCACCACACTGCCTGAATACCATGGTGGCAGCTGCAGATTTGAGGTCAATGGGACAGACAACAGATGTCTAGTCTATGAATAGTTTCCTTGAAACCTGCCAACAGTGAATATGAGACTCAAGAGTAGGCACTTATCCTTGAACAGGATGGTATGGTAGGCAGCTCACCAAACAGCTTCGAAGGCAGGCCCCAGTGGGCAGCAGTCCTTGTAGCTGGGCCAGCCTTCCAACAATGCTGTACTTCTTCCAGCCCCAATCCTTGTACCTGCCCCTTCCTCTTTAGATACCTCAAAGGTTCAGACAGCAGGTATTTTTAGGGTGTTTACCACATCCGCCAAGACTTGGGGGAGGAGGAGGGTTTGAAATGAGTCCTGGGTTATTTTTAGAATGCTTTCCACCGAGCTGTGCGGTAGCTATTGTGTATCAGGCTAGGAGAAGCCATGGCACCAGCCTTCATTTCTGCTGCATCACTGACTTCAACCATTCGTGAACGGTATGAAAGAGACAACGCAGGGCAGAACCATCATCCCACATTCCCTCTCTCCACCGCCACATAATTCTTTTAATTTCAGGGGGAGGGGAGAATGGTTTATTGCTCTGGATTCTGGATTGCTGGGTTTTTAGATACCAGATATCCACCTATGAACCAATCCTGGGAAAGAATCAGAGTTAGTAATTATAGCTCTCATTCTAGAACCCAAAGCTCAGCATCTCATATTCTCACCGTTTCCAAAACACGAGAAGCCACCCACACACCCACTAAGTATTTTTATACCCATTGAAAACCACATACAAAATGAAGGGTTATGAAACAGTTTGGTCTTGACATTTTTGAAATTTGAAGTTGTATCTTTAGAGTCTGTCTTCTAACACTGTAATATAGAATATGTAAATTTTATAATACAGTTTTTACATTTCTTAATTTGAGCCTAATTCTCTGCCCAGTATTAAAGGAAACCTGAGAGTCAACGCCCATCAGTATGTGATGGGGGAAAGGGAAAAAGAGGTTCCTCCTCTGGTTTATGAACAGGCTTAAAAACTGGAGAGAACGGCACTGGAGGACTTGCACAGGGCAGCTCTGAGCACCTGACCCAGTGCCTCCAGCACAGCAGCTGAACCGGATCCCTCCAGTCCAGCAATTTATAGCTCTTCCCTTAGCTGCCACAAGCCAAGGATTGTGGGGTCTTTTTTGAGTCTCCAGGCCCAGTTTCAGGGAACTGCATATATTCCATGTTGTTAACACTAACGCATCGGGAAATGACTCTGAATTTATCTCTAATATTGAACTCTGCTTGGCGTCCAGTTCTGAATTTCTATCAGAGGAACACTTCTCTTGGGTTGTCCCATCTGTACTTCAAACTTGATGTTTATGACACTGAAATCATATTCCTCTATCCCAAACTCGCCCGTTCTCCAGAGTTCCCTATTGCTGTTAACAGTACTTAGCCATGCTTGAGACCACCTCCCCTCCCACCATCAACTCTGAAGTCTTATCAGTACTACATCCTCCACATTTCTATTCCTACTAATTCAACAGCCTCCCAACTGGCCTCCCTGACTTGATGTCACCCTTTCTAATACTTCCTCCCTCCACCTTGCCGTCAAGGGGATCTTGGTACTCAAGGTCCCAATCCAAACTCCTTGGCCTGTCATTTCAGGGCCCCATGGGCTAACCCCAAATCTCCATTCCTACTGAATCTCCCACTTCTCCCCAGGGAGCACCTTACACTGCAGTTAAATTAAATGGCCCCTGTTCTTGGGACAAACCCAGGTTTCTTCCCATCAGAATTTAGTCACATTATTTCCTCTATGTGAAAGGGCCTTACAGCCAGTGTTTACATATCCAAATCTTCCAGATCCCAATAAAATTCTACCTCCATCATTGTCTTTATTATGAAATCTTGGGAAAACATTCTTCTGACCACTAAAAGGAAAATACTGATTGAAAAGCAGCTCAAGCTATTTGGAATTCCATCATGATAATAACAGCTAACATTTATTGACCATTTCCAATGCTCCAGAAAAGCCCTAACTTCTCTCTCTTAGCAATTCTATAAATTAGTTACATTATTACCCAAACTCAATTTACAGATGAGAAAACAGAGGCACCATTTAGTAACTTGCCCAACGTTTCCCAACTAGTAAAGTCAAGGTGCTGAAATTGGAACCCAGGAAGTCAGGTTCCAGAGCTGCCGAACAGTCATTGTTATCTCATGATGATTTATTAAGTTCCCAGGTAGCCCCAGAGAGTACAGTGATTTCAGCTGTTATAAAAATCCAATATATTAAAATAGAAGGAAAAAAATACTCTCTGAAAACCATGATTCTTTGGCAACCATAAGAGATGGAAATTGAGAATTAAAACTGGCAAAGTAGCTCCAAGTATATTTTCACTGATCCTGGCAATGCCAAGACCAAACTTTGATTTTTGTAGTGATGGCATATGAAACCCATAATATAATGCTTAGTTTTAACCATTTCTGAAAAGATAGTGCCAACACAGAACCACTAAGTAAGTATAAGACCTGAATTGATTTAGCCCTCCATTTGCTAATCTGCCTAGTGACGCTTTGTAACTAGGTAATTTCTACAGCCCACTCCATCTTGAAATGGATTATGACCAACCTTTATGGTATAAAATAAACTTGTTTTTCACTTGACAATTTCACTTTTCTCTTTTCAGAACATATCCTCTTAGACACAATTATTTATTTGTTTATTCAAAAATACCCACTGCTGAAAGCACTAAGAAAGCTAAAATATATTATTTTTATTATTCATTGATCAACACTGCAGTTCCGACCCTTAAGAGGTTTTACAATGTAATAGTAGAGCTAGGACAGATGTAAATGTAGGACTATGAAGGATAAAAGCCATCAATACCATGGCCTCAACTATGGGAAGGCATGGAGAAGAAGTAGTTTTTGGCTAGGGAAATTAAGGGGATACCTTTTAGGAAGGCTAAAGTTCCCCAAATCTATCAGTGAAACAAAAGCCCAGCTTGCAGAACCCTTCTGGATAAATGTTATCTGTGCCCAAAAGGTCACTTTCTTATGAATGTATACCTGAAGTGTATAATTGGTAGCTTTTCAGAAAATTCTCAGCTGACTTCATTATTGAGATAATTATAAAACAAATTATGTAAGAATGTGTGCCACCACCTACATTCTGAGCACTGCTGTAAAATATGTCCCACAATTCCAAATCTTGCTTCAAAAGAGA